AAATTATTTTTGATTTACATTATCAGAAATCAGATCATCCAGTACAAGTACATTCACAGCATATGCTCAGTGAGTCAGGGAACTGGCATCGTTGAACAAACTGATTCTTGCTTTGGAAGAAGTGCATTATAGCCCATTGTAATTGACTGGTGGGACTTAAAAGCAAAAGAAAGAACAGTAATGTGCATTAGTTTAGTTTCCTCACCCTACCCCCACTACAGGATTAGGCCAGCGGTGAGGAACATGTGGTTCTCCAGATATTGTGGGATTCCAGCTGTCATCCGCCTGAGGCAGCATGATCAGAAATGTTTGGCAATTGGAGTCTGCCATCATTCCCCCATCTTTGGCCTCCGTGTTCAGTCTCTGTTGGGGTGGACATTTTGCAGCCTATGGTGAGCCACATATAGAAAATGGGACTCCCTGTAGTCTTGAAGCCTCAAGCAGCCCACAAGGGGCTCAAAAAATCCCTTTGTGCCTTCTGGGGGCATGAGGCAATTGCTGTGCTATGATGGACCTCCACAAACACCCAAATTTTGTTTTAGAACAATGGCCACAGGGGTTCAAGGAAACTTTTTCAGTTTGGAAAGAAATGTTTTTGTTAGAAAATAAAAGTTAGTTTGTTGGTTGTGGGGAAGAGTATTCATGTACCCATCCCAATGCCTAGGGATGGGTATATGCAGCCTGCAGACTTTTGAAAATTGCCCACCTGTGGCCTGCATCCTCTCATTCTTATTCACTAAAGATGGGAACACACTTCGGTTCAAATGTTCCCTTCCCCGGCCAGCTCCCTCACTCACCAGCCAGTGTGTGCTGCTCTTTCTCTTCTCTTTGCATGATAGTCCAGTTGCAGCAGGAGTGCATGCTTCCATCCTCTGCCTCCTTCAAGAGCCGCCCACTCAAAAGCAGTGCTGCAGGAATCCCTGCCCTGCCTCCTTGTCTGTATGGGCGGCTGCCATAGGAGGCGAAGGAGGGCAGCACACACTCCTGCTGAGATTGGACAATCATGTGAAGAGGAGGGAAAGAACAGCGTAGGCTGGCCAGTGAGTGGGGGAGTTGCCCACGGCGGTGGTGGAAGAGAACAAGCAGCATCAGTGGTTCCATGCCAATGAACCAGCACAAATCACCAAACCGAAATTCTAATATCCACCTTTTCTGCTCTGTCCTTAGAGCAGGAGGAGCATGACTATATAGCTCCCAGGAATGCCTAAGCTACTCCTTCAAGAAAACAGAGATTCAGAATCTCGTATCATTATTTTCAAGTTTTCTTTCTTTATTTGTATTAGTGTGCTGCACAATTTAAAATTATGGACATACAATGGTGCCTTGCTTAGCGATTGCGTCATTTAACGACGAAATCACTTAGCGATGACTTTATCGGAGCGTTTTTACGCTTCGTTTAACGATGGTCCCTATGGGTGATTTTCGCTTAGCAATGGTTGGGACCATGCTTCGCATAGCGATTAAATTTTGGATCCCCTGTTTTGCTTAACAATGGTTTAAACAGCCTCACATTTGCTGTTTTTGAAATGTTTCTCTGTTATTTATAAAGTTAAAGTTTACTGTTTAAAATGTTTGAAATCATAACGTGCACTTAATAAACCCTTTGTTAACCAAATTTGACTCTGTTCTGACTCTTTTTTTAATTTGTTGTTGTATTTTTCCCCCATTGAGATGCATTGAATAGGTTTCAATGCATTTCAATTGGGGAACTGCGTTTCGCTTAGCGATGTTTCCTATGGCGATTTTCACTTAAGGACGGCAATTCGTTCCTATTGGAACGGATTATCCGGTTTTCAATGCATTTCAATGGGAAACTGCGTTTCGCTTAGCGATGAAATCGCTTAGCAGCATTTTTTTTGGAACCAATTAACATCGTTAAGCGAGGCACCACTGTATAAGAAATATAGGTAAAATTAAAAACAAATTAAAATTTTAAGATAATTACACTGTTTTTTACCAGAAGCAAGCTACAGTACTTCAATATCGTTATCTCAGTCATTTGCTAAATCTTGTTTTGTACACATGGTGGGGCTTAAATTGCATGGATACAAGTGCTACATTGATTGAATTTCTCCATAGTCACAGAAAATTTGTCCTGTATCCAAGTAGCTCCATTTTATTTGATTGTTCCTTGATCTTCCTACTTCATTTTAGAGTCTGTTAAATGACTTTCAGATGGTCCAGCTAGAGTGTCATCCTGGTGGGAGACAGTCTTCAGCATTCATTCATTCATCGTGTTGTTTTTGTTGTTTTGTTCTTCTATTTTGAAGCAGTAAAGCTATTCAAGCCTGAACTTTACCTAGAAGTAAAATGCCTAAACTAAGACTAGAGAAGACTCACTGGAAAAGACACTCGGTAGAAAGAGCTGAAAGCAACATGAAAAGAGGAATACCTGATAAGAGATGGATTGTCTCAATAAATGGGGACTTTACCTTGAGTTTTTAAGAGCTATGCAGAGCTGCTGATGACAGGGACACCACTAATTCATAATGTCACCATAATTTGGAAGCAACCTGACAGCACATAACAGTTATTCTTAAGAACTTCAAGTCACTGCTTACAAGTAACTAAGTACTTGATGTTGAGCAAAATCCTTTTGGTGCAGCTCTGGCAGCATAAACTGGTTCAGGGTGCTGGAAATAATTAATTTCATAATTAATAAATAATTTATTTAATTTGGTTTATCTTGGCAGAATTGCACCAAAAGGATCTTCCCCAGTGACTCCTTTTTGCAGCAACGAAGGTTTACATACATTTCATTGCAATGGAAATGTAAAGGATAATGTGACTCCTCTTGAATGTAATCATAACTCTCCATTATTTTTCTAGTTACAGGACTGTGGCCTCACTAAAAGATAGAGGAGGCATATTTTGTTCAAGTGCATACTCATGCTATGTTTTTTATTGCTGAATTAAAACCATTATGATTTTTAAACTGAAAGCTTCTGTTTTAATTACTTTTTAAAAAATAGGAAAGAAAACTATTTTGTATAATTACTTATATAATTAGTTTCTTATACTGTAATTACTAACACAAAATTGCTTACATAAGATTGCAACTATAATGGTCCACATTTTGACCATAAACTAATTGCTTACTGAAAGTAACTTTCAAAGCCTTGATACTCTTGCAGCGACAGGATTATAACATGACAAGCTGCAGGTCATACCCTACATGTAGCTTTTGCTAGCTGATCACAACCCAATGTGGTGTGTAGGGGATAAAGTGACAGGCAGACTCTGAAGACTAGGGTTCGAACCTCTGCTCAGCCATTGGAACTGATTGCAGTAGAAGAACTGGTAAAGCCACTACTTAAATACTGTATCTCACTTATCTTGAAAGCCTTATTAGGGTTGTCACAAGTCAGTTCCAACTTGTTGGTACATAACAAGAACTGATCATCTGTATATGTGTGTGTGTCCAAAATTTCAAGAATAGTTCACTCATGCTATTTGAGTTTGCTGCCAATCTGAGGGTCGTTTTCTGAGCTGCCAGGTGCAGGTGGCAAGGACAGGATGGCTTCATCCCAGTACTCACACAATTCCTTCTCCTGGCAAGCGGTCACTACGTGGAGCTCATTCCAGCAGAACAGAGATCCATATAATACATTTTAAATTCCTAATATCTGCAGGAAATATCCAGTTACTAATGGTCACTTTATTGTAAATGGATCCGATTATAATTTTACGTTTGAATAGTCAGAGAGGTTTATGTAAGGATATAATAAATACTAATACTAATACTAATAATACTAATAATACTAATACTAATAATACTAATACTAATAATACTAATAT